GCTCCTCCCCACACTTGGGCTCTAGACCCTTCCCCAGCTTCGTTGCCCTTCTCTGGCCACGCTTCAGCCCCTCAAGGTCCTTCTGGGACTGAGCCCCAAAACTGACCCCAGGATGGGAGGTGTACACTGTGTCCCTTGGCTCATTTGAAACCTCTCCATGTCCCTCCAGGCTCTGCTGCCAGCCAGCTCCTGGCCCTGCACCTTCACACTCCTGGTGACAGCCCAGCCATACCTACCTTCAGCTGCTCCATGGTCACAGCATCCTGGTTTTCCTGCACTGCACCCTGACTTCCCAGCATCAGCTCTGAAACAAAAAAAAAGAAAAAATAATAGGGAAAGGCCCTATCAGCCAGACACCACGGGTCTCCTGACACTCCCTTTCCCTCTATACTGCACCTACACACTCTGTATAGGATCTTTACGTGCCATGGGCACCTCTCCTCCAGGCTGGGGCAGCCTGGCATGGCAGCAGCTGGGTGGGTTGCACATCTGGGACATGGGGGGGTTGCACATCTGGCACAGGCACTGCTGCCTCGCCCTGCTCCTGGTCAGCCTGCCCTCCTCCACACACCCTGGCTGCACAGCAAGACCCAAGCAGGAGAAAAAAAACCCTCACCATCCTGCACAGCTCCCAGGAGCCAAACAGTCTGGCCATGGGATCTGGTCCCAAGTCTGAGAGGTGGGAATCAGCATGAGGAAAGGCCAAGCAAGAGGAAGAGCCGTGGCTGCAACGTTGGGGTCTCCAGAGAGCCCCAGGTAAGCAGGAGTGAGGGTTGGAGGGGACAGCTCAGTGCTGGTGCAGAGCCTCCTGAACTGGCCAGGATCCCCCCACGCTGGCCGTTTGGTGCCCACTGAGCATCACCACAGGGCTGAGAAGTGCTCCTGGGTGCACAGGGGGCCAGGGGCTGCTCCATGCCAGCACAGGGACAGGCACCAGGTTTGATTCCTCTTCCAAACCTTGCCCGGGACACCCCAGTGGGAAGACACACCTCTGCTCTGCCTCAGCCGCCGCACGGCCACCTTCAGGTGCTTGGTCCTGCCCAGGTCCTCCCCGAGGAGATAGTACCAGCCGCTGATCTCCTGGGTGGGAGGGAAGAAGCTGTTGATGCCAGGGCAGACCCTCACCCCCACCCAGCTCAGCCTGGTTGCCCAGGCCAGTACACAGAGGCTGCCCGGACACGCTCGCACACAGAGGAGAGCCCAGAGGCTCCTCTGGGGATACAGCAACAGCCCAAACCCCACTCCCTGCAAGGAGGGCTCAAGCATCTCTGAAGTTAACAAGCTTCTGGGTCTTTAGAGGGAGACAAGGTACAGAAAACCAGCCAGTCTCCAGCAAACCGGGGGCAGCCAGCAGTGCCACGGGGAGCCCACGGCCCCAGGATGGGCTCCAGCAGGATGCCCAAACCAGGGGGGGTTCCCTTTGCCCCCGTCCCACACCCACATGGCCAGCAGCCAAGAAGACAGAGATGAGCTCCACAATCCCTCTCCTCTCTCCCAGGGAGCTGCTGCTGTCTCTCATTGCTCCCTGGGCAGCTGGCAGAAGCTGGAGGGACCAACCACCCTGGCCCAAGCCCCAGCATCGGGTCTCTTTGCAGGAACCACGCTCCCAGAGGCCAGGGGAAGAGCCCCATCTCAAAATGAGTGTTTTAAACCCACAGTGAGGAAACTGAGGAAAGGTGAGGGGAATTCAGCAGCATCATGCAGCACCCAGGAGACAGAGCCAGCTCATCTCAGCTCCTGCTGAGGTCCCAGGAGGACGAGATGCCCCCAGCATCCTCCTTCCACCCTAGGAGAGCAGGGTGCTGTGGTGGGTGCTGTACACACCAACATTCCATCACCTCTGCACACAGAGGCCCTTTGTGACTCACTGCCAAAACCCAAGAAGGAAGGGACCTCTCTGGGGAGACCAAATGTGACCAGAGCAGAGGTTCCCCCTGGGGAGAGCTGCTGTTTAGAGCTGCTCTGCCAAATTATCTTCACTGTAACAAAAAAGCTGCCTCTTACTTGTCCAAATTTCAGAGCAGGCCACACTCAAGCTGCCTCTTACCCTCTTCTCAGGTCCCTGACACAAACAGTTCCTTCTGAACCTCTTGCCAGGGAGGTAAATTTCCACACCTCAAGTGTTTTTGTTTCACAAAACCCTTCCAGCTTGCTGAGATTCTCCACGGTACAGAGGACATGGCCAGGCTGCCCAGGGATGAAATCCCTCAGCCCTGGCAGCCAGGATGAAACAGTTCCATGGTCTGGTGGCTCTGCAGGAGGCACTTAAAGCAGTGGCCTCAGAGGCTCCTTCAGGAAGGCAAACCCAGCTGTACTACCAAGCAGCAGCCAGGCTGGGGCAGCAGTACTGTGACCAAATCCACAGCAGTGGGGACATGGATCCTGGCCCAGAGGCAGCCTGGCAGCACCACCACCTCCAGAAGAGCCCAAGAGAGACCTCTGCACTTGCCCTCTGCCCACCACCACCTCATCTGGCGAGGCCCTGGCTGCTGAGCACGGGGAACCAGACAGACTCAGGAGCATGTCCCCACCATTGCACCCCCTCGGCCACCACCCATGTCAGATGTGACACACCAGGCTGAGCGAGGTTGGCCCAGCCCCTGGGCAGGCAGCACTCGCTGGGGCCACCTCTCTGCACCCCCAGATGCTGCCATTCAGTGTCCCTGCAGAAGGGAGTGACAGTCCCTGTCCTATCTCTCCAACAGCCTCCAGCAGTCACACCAACACCAGTCTCTCAGTGGCCATCCATACTGGGAACAGGACCCTGGGCACCCTCAGAGCAGCTCTGTCCCTCGGTGCCAGAAGCCTGCTGCTGCCCCAAGGGCACCCAACACCCACCTCCTGACCCAAGAGTTGGGCCCCAGCCCCACGAGGTACCTTGTGCAGGGCCAGGAGGGACTTCACACCAAAGCTCATGCAGCCGACCAGCTCACTCTGCCTGCAGGAGAGCCAGAGACTGTCAGCACACACCCAGTGAAAGGGGACCAGCTCCCCACAACACCCCTCTGCAGGGACCCCAAAAACGTCCCTGCCTGTGCTGGGAGCTGGACAGTGCCCAGGACGTGCCTCCCTCTCCATGCTTTGAGGAATGATGGTGTAGCCACAGGGCTAAGGGGCAAAGAGGAGCTGGGCTGAAGCATTCTGGTCACCTCCAGCCTGATGCTGGCAGGAGTTTGGCCAAGGAAGCAGATGCCACTTGGCAGAGTGGGCAGCACAGCCTGTGAGGTGCCAGGCCCCTTGTTGGTGGGCAGTCCTCCTCACTGCATTGTCCTCAGAGGTGGGGAAGGTCCCCAGCCCGGCCCCCAGCTCCAGCCCCACTGGCCTTTAGCCAGCAGTGCAGGTGTGAAGGGCTGTGGGAGTTTTAAATGCTGGCCAGTCTGATGGCTCCCAAGGAGCAGCAAGGGCAGGATTTCCTCTCTGCCACCCGTGCACGGCGTGGTGCTCACCAGCACAGGCTGCCCAAGAGAATGACTCTGGCCAGAGTGCCCCACCAGCAGGTCCCTGTCCCACTGCTCAGCTCCCCTAGCCTCACAGCCCTCACAGAAAGCAGCCCTGATGTCAGGGCCAGCCCTCGAGGAGCTCAGAGCAGGTGGCCAGAGCAGGCAGCAGGTTCAGTGCCACTCCAGCCCCGTTTGAGAGGGACCCTCCAGCAGGCTGGCAGCCCCTTACCTGGAATTCCTCTCTCGGTTCCAGACCGTGACCAGGAGACGTTTCTGCTCCTGCTCCTCCTGCACCAGGCTGCAAGAAGCAGAGGGGACAGCCCGTGAGCACTGCCAGGAATCCTGCACTCCCTGCACACACCACTCCAGCATCACCCCAAGTGGCCACCTCCTCAAACAAGCCCCCGTTGCTTTAACCCACTTGTTCCTGACAGACCAGTGCAAAGGGATGTGACCTCTCCTGGGCAGGCACTGGGGACTTCACTCAGGTGGTTTAAGGGGAACAATGATCTTGTGGAAAGACACACATCCAACAACAGAGGGTAAATGCAAGGAACAAGCCACGTTTCATGCCCTGGAGCAAGCATCCCATGCCAGACTAAATGCTGTTTGAGGACAGAGGTCTGACACAGGCTGGTTAGTTGGCAAGGATGAGCTCTGCCCAAACATAACAAGCCATGCAGCTCCTTTCCCATGCAGAGAGCAGCTGCAGCTATAGGAAATCCTTTTACCTTGCTCACTCACACCGATGCCCATACTACTGCAGGTGTAAGGTCTAGGGAATGGAGTGTGTTGGCCCAAATCCTGCCCAGCAAGAAAGTCCAAGGGTGTGGGAGCGCCGCTGCCCTGCGTGCACCGCCAGCTCTGTGAGCCCCTGCAGAGCTCTGCCCAAAACTTCAAGGCATTTCAGCTCTAAAAACCATCAGAATAATGTCTGTCACTCCTCATCTCAGCAGCAGACCCGCTCATGCGTGATGTCTGTTTATTACAGATCAGAATGCAAAAGCAAACACGGGGTCCTGGCCTGGAGAGGGTACCCCAGGACAGCAGCCACGTGGGTCCCCCACAGCTCAGCGTGAGCACGGCGCTGCCGGAGCTGCCTCGGCCCCCTCAGACTCACAAAACAAAGTGCTCGTGGAACACGGGGTTTTGGCTGTCTGGCACCGTCCTCGTCTTCTGCCTGCACTTCCAGCCAGCATCTGGCACGATGGACATCTTGACAGAGGGAGGAGAGGGAGACAAGCAGTGTTAGCACTCTCGGAGCTGCACCGGCTGCCAGCTCTGCTGCCTGCTAAGCCTCAAAAATCCCACAGAGCCCGTGCTAACGCCTGGTTTAAATCACCTTACCCTGTGTGTGTCAGGGAACTGTGTCCCAAAACTCCTCGGGGCAGGGGGGGGAAGGGAAAGGGCAGAAGA